TTGCTGGAGTGTAAGGTAATTTACACCTATTAAGTACCAGGAATTGTCAATGTTTTTGCAATGTATTACACAGAAAGAAGGGCAGATTTCTGAATATTGTCTGTAAGCAGCATAATAACCCTTGAACTGTAGTGGAACTGGAGTTCTGCATTTCCTAGGAATTACCAGCATCTGACCCCTACTCACCCAGAAAAGGAGCTGGCACAGTGCTTGATTTTCATGGTCAGAAATTTTAAAATAAATAAGTTATCTCACTGTCCCAGCTGGAGGAGCACAGAAATCAGCTGCAGGCTCTCCCTGTGCAGAACACGGGAAACAGCTGCCCCCAGAGCCCATCTCTGCATCCTCACAAGACCAGAAGAGACTGAGGAGCTGCAGGAGAGGGGCCTGAGGAAAATGAGGGCACTCTTCTGGGATGTGCATCCCTGCACCCTCCTCTCAAACCACACAGCAAGGTCAGAGTGGTCCCAGTCAGTGCAGAATCAGAGAATTGTGGAATGATTAAGGTAGAAAAAGCCCTCTAAGATCATCAAGTCCAACCATCAACCCAGCACCAACCACATTCACCACCAAGACATGTCCCCAAGTGCCCCATCCACATATTTTTTGAACACTTCCAGGGATGGTGACCCCATCACTGCCCTGGGCAGCCCGTTTCAGTGCTTTACAGCCCTTTCCATGATTTTTTTTTCCCCCAATATCTAATCTGGACATTCTCTGGTGCATTTTGGGCTGTTTCCTCTCATCCTGAACAAGAGGCCCCTGCTCCCCAGGAGCACTCACAGAACAAGTGACATCTTTCCAAACAGCAGTGCTTTTCTGAGCACCAGATTTGGAAGAGTTTCAGATGTTTAATTTTGAGAAGTTAAGGAATAGTTTCCCTGTGTAAACACTAGCACAGAACAGTTTGGGATGTAACAGCAAAAAGCCCCTTTGCTTAAGGTCAAAAAAAGTGAAAATCCCACTTCTACCCATTCCCTTTCCTGGACACCTCACAGTGGTTATAACACTGACAGTCCCAAATAAACCACTGGGTTTGAACCCTGCCCAGTGCTGCTTCCACTCACTGTCCCCAGCAACAGCTGCAGTGCTGGGCAGTGTCACCCAGTTCTGCTCCACAGGAGAAGGAGTTTCCTTGCAGGAACGGCCAAACACACACACACGGAGATTTCTTGGTATAACTTCTTGGTATGTTTGAGATAACATTTTAACTGATCTGGCATTGATCAGCCCAGCTGAGTCTAGAAGGGCCTAACTACAAGACCCCCAAAACACTGGTGAGAAAACAGCACTGAGAGCAGGCAGCAGAACCATCCTACACCCAAGTTCTCTGTCAAACTGGGACATTTCAGATCACCAAAACACAGGTGTCTGGTGTTATTTGAGATGTCTTGGTGCTCCAGCTGCCCTCTGAGACAGAAGTGTCTTGGGCAGGGCCCTTGTCATGCTGCCAACCTCCTGCAAGTGTCTCAGACACAGTCTGACACCTAAACCCTGCCAGAGGTGACACCTGCCACCAGAGTCACTCCCCTGTTGTGCTTCTCATTGATATCACAGTTCCATGTGTGTTTACTTTTTGAAAGCCTGGCATGGAAAAACTCCTTCATGGAGAAGCTCCTTCTATGGAGAAACTCCTTCCATGTGTTTTAGTGATTTTTGTCCTACAGAATGTCCAGGGGAACACCTGCACTCCACAACCCCTTTGCTGCTGGCCTGCAGTCTCTGGCAGGACCACCCTGAACACATCTGAGCAGAGCCACAGACCAGCTGTGCTGGGCTTGCTCTGCCCAACTCGACCTTCTTTGTGCAGCTGCTGAGGCCAGGACAAACACAAAGCATGCCAAAACGGCACCACAAGGGCACACAGAAAGCAGACAGGAGCCTCATGCCCTGCCTCTTTTTCCCTGCTTGTCTACCTCAATATCCTCCCCACGTTCCCCTTCTTGTGAGGACAGGCACGCCCTGGGTTCCAGCAGCCCAGGATCCCTTAGGAAGGGAATGAAGAGCAAGCATCTGGCACTGGGCACAGAGAGTCTCCTCCCCTCCCTCTGCCCTCCAGGCATCTCCTCTTGGAGAAGGTGCTGCAAGGGGCAGCTCTCCTGGCTGACCAGGCCTGCAGCAGCCAGTGGGGATGAGGGCAGCCTTCTTAGGGTATGAAGAGGTTTGGATCTTTCTTTGGATCCCTGCTTGGACACTGGCTCAGCCACTGAGTGCTGGCAGGCAGAGGGGGCAAAACCAGTTTGCCACAGGGCTGGAAACAGGTTTTATTGGCCCCACAATTAACTCCTGAGTTTCTGCTGTTTATTGAAGCAGTCAGGATCACACCTGGGATTCATTCCACAGAGCAAGAACAGGAAAAATCTGTACTTGTACTGCCCAGGGTGAACAAAAGAAAATCCCAGTCCCAAAATGTCACTGGCCTGCAATGGCAAGCTCCAAGCAAGGACAGTCCCACCTTCACCAGAGTTCCAGTATCTCTATAAATCCTGATTTCTTTACCTATATAATCACTAGAGCTAGTCATATCAATATAATTTATGTCTTTTTTTATGGTTGCAGCAAAGAATTTGAAAAAACTGAAATTGAAAAAAATCCCATGAAGACCTCCAACCTCTTTGAACTTTAAATTGAAAAAAGTATCCAAAAATGATCCAATAATTCTGACTGAGAGTCTGTCATTGTGGAGTCTTTTGGGAGCTTTTTCTATTCCTCCAGGTGACCAGAGGTCACATTGTGTCTCATCCTCTGCCTCCAGTCCTTAATAGTGCCTGACCAGGCAAAGCTTGGGAGATCCAAACATTATATGAGCCTCAGGTGAACAAAGGGATGGGACACACAACACAAATGTGAGGGCTCCTCAGCTCCGTAAGGAGCCTAAGGAATTTTTTTGGTAGAACACGCCAGGTCGCAGGTGAAGCTCTAACCTTTTGTGAAGCTGTGGCTGCCCCTGGGTCCCTGGAAGAGTCCAAGGCCAGGCTGGATGGGGCTTGGAGCAGCCTGGGACAGTGCAAGGTGTCCCTGCCATGGCAGGGGTGGCACTGGATGGACTTTTAGGTTCCTCCCAACCCAAACCAGTCTGGGATCCTGTGATTCTATGAAGCTCTGAGTGAACTTTGAGCCATTCCCTCCTGTAAAGCCCAACCTTTCAAAACAAATAAAGTCCTGGACAGTGTTAGTTTTTGTACTGAAAACCAAAGCTTGCTCAAAGATCATTCCTTTATTCCCTCCTTTTCCTGCCAGCAGCAGCCACCAGCCTGCACAGGTTATTATTTCAGCTTCCTGCAGATGCACAGGTACAGATTCCCATCACTTTCAACTGATGCCAGAGACAGGGATCTCTGATAGCACCGAGTCAGGCTGATAACAGGCAAGTTTCAGCACCACTCGGCTGATAATTACACAGTTGTGAAAAATACACCAGTTGGCAACAAGCAGGAAATACAGAGTTTGCAATCCTTTGGAAAGCAAGACAACCCTCTGCCCTAGTGCAGCATGCAGCTCTGTGCTCTCAGGGCTTACCAGGTACCACACATGCACTTCCCAGAGATACCCTGAGCCTCCTGTCTCCAGAGTGGGAGACTTGGGAGCTTCATCCCACTCTCCACCATCAACAGAGACCCCTTCCCCACACACACCAAAGCACATCCCCATGAGAGAATCATGGAATCTCCTGAGTGGAAGAGACCCACAAGGATCAGAGTGTCCAGCCCCTGGGGCTGCATGGAAAAGCCCAACAGTCGTCTTGCTTTGCTGGTGTGTCCAGACAGTGCCTGAGCCCTCAGATCATCAGCCCAGCCTGTTACCATGCAGAGCCCACGCTGACCCTTCAGATGGATTTTCAGAAATCCCTAACTGCTGCAGAATTCAGCCGGAGAGGAGTTACAGAACAGGAGCAAACACTCACCATGGGGCTGCAATTTCATAGGGAAATCATGGACACAAAATGACCAATACTGGCTTATCACCATGGAATTTCATGTTCTTTCATTGTCACATTTGTATTTATTGTAGGATCAGGACAGTGAATTTTAAATTAATGTCTCATATAGGTAGAAGTACCAGGAACAAGAAATGATGAAAGTCTGATTTCACCAGGGCTAGTGAGCTTTATACTCACTCTTAAAACACAAAATGAAGTCTGTTATGGGATAACTATTTCATTAGATTGTTAATACTGAATATGCATGTGAATGTGTGTGTGTGTACAAGTATTTATTTTCACATAAGTATAAGCTCTTTCTTGCACGAAACAAGAATAGCTAGTATAGAAGGCCCAGCAAAAGCAACAATTTTAATACATATATAAGAAATTTCTATTTAAAAAAACGAAACAAAACAAATCATACCATGATTGCCTGAACTCTCTTGTTTATACACCAAGAAAAACCCACCCTGCTCCCTTCTCCTTGTGCTGTTAAAATAACTTGTGTCCTGTAGCACAAGACAGAGAGGTCACAACATCAGTCACCTGTTGACAATGGTCAGAACATGCACAGGGAATCTAACATTTATCCCAGTTCCCTCACACACCTTGCTAGCTGCTGAGTACAGCCTCCTTTCCCCCTTCCTTGTCATTAATTAATGTAAATACTTGTAGTGTTCACTTACAAGTAAGTGCAGGAAAGTAAAAGAATGTATTTGATAATCTTATCTAAGTCACAGAATTACAGAGCCATGGAATATCCTGAGCTGGAAGGGACCCACAAGGATCATCCAGTGCAGCTCCTGGCCCTGCACAGATACCCCAACAATCCCACCCTGGGCATCCGTGAGAGCTTTGTCCAAATGTTCTATTTGGCTCCAGCCAAAAGAAAGCATTTTCAAAGATGTAAGAGGAGTTAAAATACAAGTGTTCTCCATTGCCCTTCCCTGCATATACAATTTCAAAGTGTTGAGAAAGTGCAGAACTGTGATAGCAGAACTACAACATCCAGAGCTAGATATGCTAAAACATCTTCAAATAACCTCCAAGCAAACAACCCTGTGAAATCCACACTCACCTGAATGTGGTCTGCCCAATTCTCCTCAGTCATGGTTTTCTGAAAAGACAAAATCACTGCTGAGCCATCTTAGGAAAGGGAGGATGTTCCACACAGCAAACTAGAAATGAACACCTCATTGTCCCCACTGGCATCACCTGTGACCAAGGAATGCAACATGGACACACAGGACACCTCAGCTCCTCAGTGTCTCCAGCTGGGGCATGGCAGAACACAGCTTGGATGAGGGAACTCTTACACCACAGCACATGAAGCATAAAAATTCCTATGCAGTTTGTGCCCAAACTCATCTCTCCAGCCAGCCATAGGGAGCCATCCTGAGGGCTCCAGCCAAGGGAGGGATCTCAGGGGTCATCTGCAAGGCTGAGCCTTCAGAATATAAAAATACAATTTTCCTCAACAGTCAAATAATGAAAAATCCTCTGGAATCATGAGGTCTGGGAAAGGAAACTGATAAGTTAATATTCCCATTCTAATGCAGTTCAGAGCCAAACTTGGGGAGAAACTCAAGAAGGGACCTGCTCTCCACTCTGCCAAGAACTGCATGAGACCCACCATCAGTCTCACCCCAGAGCTGGCAGAGGAAACAGGGAGTGTCATTGTCACTTTTATGGAAAGATACAAGAGCAAACAGGGAGCAAGAGCCTCAAAGAAAACAGTTTTGAGATATCCAAGCATATCATTTAAATATTAGTGAGATAAAGGAGACATTTAACCAGAGCTCAGACACAGCTGAGAATGGTAAACAGAGAGCACCAAAGAACTCTCAGAAGAAGGGATTGTGTCCAGAAACAGCTGCCAAATGCACCTTAATGGAAATAACTGGCCAGCTTGGATACTTTAAAGCAAGCAAATTCTCCAAAACAAAGGAAGTGGAAGGCCAGAGGGAGCAGAACACCAGATCACGAATCCATTCCCTCTGCTAAACAAATACACCTGGAGAAATGCTCTCTGCTCCCTCTGTGGATGACCAAGCTCCCTACAGTGACATCATCCAACATTAAAGCTCTGAGATGCAGGAGGCTGAAGTGCTCCATCCTCCCCAGCTCCTCTGGCAATGGGTTTGGCAGGCAGCAAAGACAATCAGAGGCTTCCCTGATGGACTGGGAGGGCTTGGGAGCAAAACTTGGAAAAAAAAAACCTTGATCATAAACGACTAATACACTTCGATTATCTCAATTAAGTTATTAAAAATGTAAATGTAACCAAATTCCCCACACACAACACAGCACGTACCTCAACAAATCTCTTGTAAAAGAGGTAATTCAGGGTTCTCAAGTGCCGCTGATTTATGACATTAGGGCAGAGAGCTGAAAGAAGGAAAAAGACATTTAAGTACAGAGCATTTCCTGGAAGTTTTACTGTCTAGACATTACACTTTTCCTTCCCCAGTGTCAGACTGGGTTTGTGGAAGGCAGGATGCCCTCACCCTTGGAACAATGAGGGACAGACTCACACACTGTCAGCTTATCTCAAGTATAAACTGTTATTTACACTTTCATCCGTGATTAGCAATGCTAATTCTTGGGTCTGATATCTCTGCTTCCACCACCCCTGAGCGATAAGATCCACTCTCTGGTTCAATATGCTCCACAGTCAATGACTTCACACCTTTAATTAGGCAGCATCCTCACATGGGCACCGCCTCAGTCTCTAGAGGCTGCATTCTTTCGGGTTTAATTGGACCTGTGTTGTTAATTCATTCAAGCAGTTGTGAACAGCTCACTCAGGATGTAAACTTGTGGCTGAAGTTTATCCGATAAAACGCAGATCCATGAAAGAGGCTCCACATCCACACAAAGAGGGTGGGGAATACTGCTTTGCTGAGCTAGCAAGACACAGTTGTTGTTATTATTTTTATTGCTGTGACCTTCATTAGATATGGCTCATTACAACTGCATAACCCAAGATCTTCACACAGCACCTTGTTTTGAAATCCAGTGCAAGGAGAGATAAAGGCTGGAGATAAAAGACAAAGTGGCATTAGCACAGGTATCTGTCAGTTCCTGCTGGATGCTGGGCTGCTTCACCGAAGCCTTCCTTGGGCTTTCAGATGGGGCCAAAACCATCTCACTGGGAGCCAGAGAGAGCAGGGCCAGCAGTCACAAACAGTCACAGAGAACAGGAACATTAAATTATCTGTAGCCTCCCCTGAATTAGCACCCACGGGGAGAAACTGATTCCTCATCCCTTTGTGTGCCCCACACAGGGCATGCCCAAGAACTAAACCCCAGGAGAACAAAGAGTGATCTCTGGATACCAGAGCCTGGAATCAGAGGGGTGTGGATTGATGTGCCACTGGTTACAGCAGCTCCTCAGAGTGCCCTGAAACATCACCTCAGAATGTGAACATTTCCATCTCAAACAGAAATGCTTAAAGCTGTTATTTGTAAGTTAATCTTCCACAGTGTGGCAACAAATCCTTCCCCTCAAAGCATCTGAGGAAATCCCTGCAATTATCACAAAGGATATTGCACCAGTAAATATGGTGATCTTTCTGGATATTGTCCCAATATCTTGAGGAAAACTCATCAGCTCATGGAAAGGAACACTCTCTAAAGAAAGTAAGATCAACGTAAAAATTAGTAACACCACCTCCTAACTTAAAGTTTTCAAAGCTCTTCAGAAAGAACCATGGCATGACCCCTCCAGGCCACCCAAAAGATCCACTGAACAGCTTTTTCTTTGAGCTTCTAAAGAAAATATCCAAAGCACAGGCTCTGGCAGAACTGGGGGAGTTGAATGCTTGTGGAAAAAAGAGAGGAACGTGGATGGACTGGAAACATGTTTAAAGGCACTGGTGATATATTTTATTCTGATGGAGCAGAGGAACTGAGTTTGAATCTGGGTTCCTGAATTTTATTACAAAAAACAGAGAAGGATGAATCAAAAACACACAGAAAGGTTGGAGAGAGAACAGACTGAGAACAGGCCCGGGAGAAGGACCTGGTGCTGTGGTTAGAGCTGGACCTGCCCCAGCCCTGAACCCCCTGCCCTGGGCTGATCCCCAGTGTGGGCAGCAGGGCAGGGGGGATTCTGCCCCACTGCTCAGGGGACACCCCACCTGCAGAGCTGCCCCAGCCCTGGGTCCCAGATCCTGTTGGAATGCAGGGGTGGAATGGGATGGGCTTTGAGGTCCCTTCCAACCAAACCAGTTGGGGATTCTATGAAAAATATGAGGGCGAAGGGTAACTTGTTAAGAGAGACAACAGAATGGAGAGCTGTGGTGGTATTTAACACCTGAGTTAAAACACTCTGGAGGAAAATCACCATGGAAGTCAGGAGCAAAAAAGGGGAATATCCTCCTGCTCTCCCTCCAAAGGCATTAATGTCAAGTTGTACAAGCCATTCCCTTGTTTCTATCAGAGCATCTTCTGCCTGGTGAGGACTCCCAGGCCTCAGCTGGGGCTCTCACTGGTGACTGCCTGGACATGGGCTGGCAGCTCTTCAAGCCCTGAGGATGTGTGGCCAGCTCACCTGTGCAGATGTGCGGCCAGCTGTGGCTCACATGTGCAGATGTGGCCGTGCAGAGCCAGCTGTGGCTCACCTGTGCAGATGTGGCCGTGCAGGGCCAGCTGTGGCTCACCTGTGCAGATGTGGCCGCGCAGGGCCAGCTGTGGCTCACCTGTGCAGATGTGGCCGTGCACAGCCCTCTCCTGCCCTCTGCTGCCCCGCAGCGCGGCGCTCCCGGCAGCGCGGGGCCGGGCAGGGGCGGTCACACGGACGGAAATCCCACGTTAAACCAAACGGACAACTGGGTGCTCAAGCGAGGGAAACATTCCTCCTGGATCATGTTAAAAACCCTCTGGAAGCCCGCGGCAAACACTCGCTCGCAGCGCTCAGAACCGGAGGTGCTGGACTGTCACTGTCACTGTCCCAGCACAGCCCTCCCGGTACCGGGGCTCTCGGGTACCCCTCTCCCCCCTGTCCCTCCACTTGGATCTCCCTCACTGGCACGGAGGCACTAAACCCAACAGATGAGGCTGTTACACTTCTTCGAGCAGGATCCTTTCTACCTCAGACGTGGGAATTGTCAAGGAAAAACATCACTGAGCTCTCTCTGTGTCCTCCTGGCTGTGCCAAGCCACAGCAGAGAACAGACTCAACCATGCCAACTCTGGGACAGGGCTGTTCCCTCACCTCTGAGATCTGTTTTGACTGGAACATGCATTTGTAAAGTCGATCTCACAGGGTCTCCAAAGACTATTAAGTAATTAGCTTGGAAAAACTGCAGGCTCGTTAAGCTAGAGCACACTGACCCAGGTGTGAGGAAAGACTCTATAAACCTCAATTTCCTCAATCACACACCACTTCTGCCCAGCTTCTTCCTCCCCCAATAAGGGTAATTAAATGAAATCCACACACAGTTTATTGGGACACCTTTGGGACTCGGCGGAAAATATCCCACTTCCCATGCTCTGTTTGGGAGTTAACAGGAATACTGAAATACAGCTCTGGAAAAGAACAGGAGGACTAATCTAAGGGAATTGCTTTATGATTGTTTTTTGGTTTTTTTTTTTCCCCTGAGGTGTGAGATCTTTTTTTAATTGGGCCACCTCCTATCTGGCTCTGAAATTTAGGGCTGGCAGTTCCCAGGAGTGTTCTCAGTTGCTGACGGACACCTCAGCTGTGTCTGGCAGTCAGTGTGATTTACTGTGAGTGGGCAAGAGTGAGCTCAAGCAGTGAAATCTCCAAGTCGATTTGGAACTGCAAGTACCGAGTCACACACAAGTTTGCCTTCTCATACCCAGAAACCCCATCCTCCTCCAGCCCTTCAAAGCCACTTCCCTCCCTGCTGCTGCTCTCAGGCTGTCACAGCGGGTGGGAGTCACGGGGAGGAGGAGACCGAAAGCAGCCACAGCATCAGACAAGCCCAGGTGAGGTGACAAGTGTGAGCTCTGCCTCACCACCAGCGTTTGGGGGAACTGCTCAGAACGAGAAATGAGGGCTTCTTTTATCTGTACACTTTGCCCAGCCTGCTTACTTTTTGTGTGCTTTTCCTCCCAGTCAGACTTGCTTTTACTAAAGAATGGAGAAAGAACACCCAGAAATTCAGCAAAAGGGAGGGGAGAGATGGGAAGACAAAGAAAGCCACATTATTCCAGCTGCTAGCATTTCCCAATTCAGTTCCAGCACACCCAGCATTAAGGCAGCAATTCCTCTGCAGGTATTCATCCCCTTCCAAAGCACTTCAAAGGAGACTGACAGCCACGGTTTAGCAATGTGTGAATTCCTGCTCATGGTATGATGTAAAAAATAAACACCTACTGTCCAGTATGGGACTGTGGGAGTCACCCAGCACTGGCTTTAGCTGAAGTTCAAACTAGGTGCCCACATCCCCTCTCACACCAGCAGAGGTGGGCAGCCCTCTTGAGCAAGGACTTGCCCTGCACTGCAGACACTGCAGTTTGCATGGGAGAAAGGGCTGGAAGGACATTTATCTGGAAGGACATTTGTCTGGAAGGAATAGGGTCTGTATTTATCCCGAGGAATCTCCTCACCAGTGAATGGAGGACCATTATCAGCAGCTACAACATCTGGAAAGCATCATCAGGTCGAAGCACGCTGCATCCCATGGAGTGCACCTGAGCCCAAAACATGCTCCTCTTTTAAATTTTTCTTTTTTTTTTTTTTTTTTTATTATTATTTATCAGGATTTTGTATGTGAATAGTTACATCATTTCACCTCTACCATTATATCATGCCCTTGGTGGAGCTTTCATAAGGAAAGAGGAACAACTCTTTTTTCTTTATAGATCATCAAAGACAACACAGCCAGCTGAATGCTCAACACTGTCAAGGAGGGAAAACTACTGAAAACTAATGAATTCCTGGGAAGCTTTTAATTTCTAAATAAATCATTCCCATGTGTCTCAGCTTTCACAAGAACATGCTGGGTTTAATTACATCCACTTCTCTTCCAGTGAGGATTTGAAAGGTTTATCTTGTTAACTTTTGAACACCAATCTGAAGATAGGAAGATTAATATGCAATAGTGTTATTGACAGGTGTAACAAACCCACAATTTGTGGTTAGAAAACCCTTTTCAGTCCAAGAAAAGAGAATTGCATACCTTGGGTTGATGATGGCAACCTCTGCAGGGTAAAAGCTAATGGTGCACCTAAAAGGGTCTGGTGCAAGGCCCCAAAGAGAAGGAAAAATCAACAGTCCCCACTAAGAACCAAAGCAAAGCAGATTTTGTTAGAGACCTGCTGGTGAAGCTGCTGGTGAAGTGACGGAAAATGTGCTACTTCTCTTGCAAGGTTGCAAGAGCCTTAAAATTTCCCCCACCAACCCTAGTTTATGTAAAGAATACAAAGGGTTGTGAGGCTCCTGCGTCCCAAGGGTTATCTCCTCCCAGCTGATGCACCCACAGCTGAAGAAAACAGATCCCCAGTGAATAATGACTTGCCTCTTATGTGAGAGGAATGGAGTCATAACTCAGAGCTGACCATGGTGTGTTTATGCAGAGCCATGCTGAGGTCAGGATTTATTTCATATCATGGCAGAAGCAGTCTATTAGTCACCAGCACTTCATTCTTTGACAGCACAAAGTGATAATTCCCATAACTCACCAGCTTTGTTTTTTCAATGTCATTAATTAAACCCTGAAATTCCGCAGGATAAATGACAGCAAAGATTCCTTGATGAATATGGAAGAAGACAAATTGACTTTTTTCTTTATTACTGAGATAACTCCACAATATGTTGTAATATCCCATACCTGAGTCAACGTTGAATCTCTCCAGGAGCCTGAAGACCAGCTTACTGAGCATTCTGCGGTTAAATTTTTCAGGTTTGTACTTGGACAGGCCTTGATATGGTCTGTAACAACACCAGAGAGACACATCTGTGGCATCATCTAAAGGATGTTTCCCAAATAGCAGACATTTAACAGCAGAGGGATTGGGGTTTGCGGGATGTTGAGAAGGACGGGTTCCTGCCTTTCCCAAGATACGGTGAAAAGCCAACAGCACAACCACACAAATTTCAGTCAACCACTTGAAGCAAGTCCAGAGGCTCATTTTAAAGAAAGTGAGCAACTCCTTTTCATCTCTTTTTCAGAGCTGACAGCAACTATTGCAGTTACACTGTGACTCTGACTGTGCTGCTGGCTCTGAGTGACAGGAGTTATTTGAGTGAGAGGCAATTCAAAAGTGAAAACATACACCATGAGTTGATGAGCACAGGAAGGTTAACCACTTGCATCTCTTGTTTTTCTGCCACTTCATCACAGTGTTATCTTCCTGCCAAACCTGTACGACTGATACTGAAAATCACCCTTGTCTGCAGCAAAGCACAGGAGGCTGATTGCTCCAACCTCCTCAGGAAGCTTTGATACTGCTCTGCTGCTGGGGTGTCCTGCACAGGTTTCATCTTGGCAGGAATGGAGCATCTGTCACTAGCGAGGATTCCTCTGTCCTACAGCCTGGGCCATTGGAGAAGGCTCTGACATAGCCACCAGACTTTTCCCTTTTTCAGCCAAGAAGTCAATATATTGCACTCTCTTACAGTGGGACACGATCACAGACAGACAGCCAGGGGACAGACACACTGCTCTAACCACAGACAGCCAGGGGACAGACACACTCTGCTCTGGCATCACCTTGGCCCCAGCTGTTCAGAAAGACAAGTGTTTCTACCTTGTGATGTCTCTGATATCGAAGCTGGGCTCACACCATGTGTCCAGGGTCTGCAAGAGCTTCCTCTGGAGCTCGGGATATTCTGCCACGTATTCTTCCACCAAGTTAGTTTTATCCTGGAGCAGTAGTGGGGTACACATCTAGGAGAAGGAATCCTGTTAAAGCACGGTGCCCTGCCTTTGGTCCCCACGGAGCACGAGAGCGAGCCCCAGCCCTGCCCAAGCCACCAGTGCTGCCTACAGGAGTGCTGTGACATTCGTAACACAAGCATGAGCAAAACTTCAGTGCAGCAGAGTACTGATCTCTTCCTCAATGATGAGAACAGCCAGGAGTGGCTGCAGCCAGAAAAACCAGGTAGAAGTGTAGTGGGGGCTAATAAAACACTCTGTGCCTAACCTTGATGTAAAAGTACATCAACAACACAAAAGGGACTTCTTGGGAATGGAATAAAGCCTCAGGTGAAAGGCAGCAGGAATTGGAGGGCCCTGATGGATCTCCTGCTAACAAAAGGTGGATCTGATGACAGAGGAGCCTGCAGAGGAAATGACTCACCTTCTCTACATCTTGATCTGGCTGTAATTTCAGCTTAATACTCAGTATGGCTGCCTAGAAAACATGAAAAAAAATTGTGTATTTAGAAGAACACTACAGTGGATAAGTGGGCATTATTCCAAAGTGAAATAAAAATGTTGTTATACACATTTTTAATGTATTAATTATTTCTCTTATGTTGTCAAGCACAAATCCTGCAAATATTAGGCCACATTCATTCCACAAAAGTACAGGAATGCTCCTAGCAGAGCTGCATATCCTGAGTAGCAACAGCCCCTGGAGCAAAAATTAAAGATCAAGTTGTTGGGCAGAAAGCAAGCGAAGCACTTGGACAAAACCAGCTGGGATGGATATTTCCTATCAATGTCATGGTAAAAGCACCTGGCCCACCATACCTTTCTGAGTGACCCTTATCAGTCTCGCTCTACCTTTGAAGTTTTGTAAAACAACTGCATTTTGTGAAAGCAACTCAAGATTTTAAACACCCTGAAATCAAAAGGTTACAGTTTCTCTAATTCCTGAGTCACTCCACAGCCCTGAAAGCGCCAGGATCACCACAGGCAGTGAGATGGGAAGAATTGTATTTTTCCCTTTCATGGGATCTCCGAACCTGCAAGAACGTGCAAGACCTGCCACGTTCACAAACTGCCTCCAAATCAGGATCTTCTAGAACCCGCTGGGGTGAACTGCAGGAACTCAAGCTCAGAAGAGCTGGTTCAGCCACTGCTTGTCCCATCCCAGCTGGGGACCACAGGAATGGAAGAAGCTCTAACTGTGCACTGCTTGCGAGGCACAGGCACGGATTAGGATTTACAGGAGGTGAGAGTGTCTCATTTCTGTAGTGTGTGAGAACACTTGGATCCCAAATACAGAATAAGCACTTAATGGGTGGCTTTAATATAGTGCCTTGTGCCAGTAACTGGGGCAATCAGGGCAAGGAGCCTTAAAGCTCATCCCTGCTCACAGCAGCAGCAGTGGATTATGCTCCTTTCTGGGGAATTCGTGCCTGTATTTCACCCACTGCATCACAGACTGAGTGTGCAAAAGCAGAGAACCAAGGCATGCCATGGAAGTTCAGCTGCTCTATCCTACTGCCTCACTTAAAAGTGGGAAAAACAGTTTTTTCTGTTTGTTTTGTTTTGGATTTGGTTTTGGGGAAGTTTGGGCGGTTTATTTTTTCTTTAACATTGCTTCATTGGAAGTCCAGGCTTTATCTTCAAAAGAGAAATCAAGAGAAGAACTTTAAGTGACAAAAAGAGGAATCATCATTAATGCAGAGACTAAACAGAAATACACAGGAGCATTGCTTAGCCCAGCTAAACCTCAACCAAACATCTCCAACTCCAGACTTTGTAACTATTCCACAAGTCACAGGCAAAGAGCTGCTTCTTTCCTCTCACATTATCAGTTTAAGTTCAAAATGTTCTTAGGTTGAAGATTGCTATTTCTCTTGTGGATGTAAAAAAGGGGTTTGGGTCTCCAAAGCTTTGGCAGCTGGTTTTGCTTTCCTCCCAGCTCCTCAAGACTGCTGAATCAAAAGAAAAAAATCCTATTTGAAAAGGAAAAAAAAGCGCAAAAAAAAAAAAAAAAAAAAAAAAAAAAAAAAAAAAAAAAAAAAAAAAAAAAAAAAAAAATTTGCAACTCTCCAGGCCTTGTTTCATCATTTGATCTCATTAGTACCTCCTATTGTAGACTTAGTTTTAACTGCAACATCCAACAGCTCCCTAATGGCTTTTTAATGTTCAGATTAACCTAATTGCAGCACTGTTATCTACATGGCAGAGGTTTATCTCCAGCTCTACTAACTGTACAGGTGACTTAATCAGATGAACATGTGTGGTGTCAGGTTGGGTTTTCCTCTTTCTCTGGTTGGATATTCCACCCTGTCCCCAAGGGTGTAGAACAACAGATGTTCATTTGTCCAGAGTGTGGGGAGCCCTCCCTTCCCTGCCCAGGCTTGGCAGACACAGCTCCCCCACAGCAGGCCTGGAGGACAGAGGAGCTCCAATCACACAGAGATTCATGGAGTCCTCACAGCTGGAGAAGACCTCTAAGATCACCAAATCCAACCATCAACCCAGCACCACCACAACGTTCACTGCCAAACCATATCCCTGGGTGCCACATGCACACGTTGTTTTGAACATCTCCAGGGATGATGACTCCATTGCTCTGGGCAGCCTGGCCAATAAGCTGTTTTTAAACAGCAATTTAACATCCTCCAGCTGAAGCAGGTAACGGAGCAGGCAGAGCGATGGTGCTGCTGGCAGAGCCTCCTGGCAGCAGGGAACACTCTGGGAGCAGGGCAGCTGCCTGGTCCATGCCTGAAGGTACACATGGAAGGAGAAGCATGAGCTGGGCCCCAGAAACAGGCACCAGGCTGGATCAGGGTGCAGCTCCAGGGGCTGGGCTGAGCGGGAGGCCAGCACAGATAACATCAGCCTGTTTACAATGGGAATAGTAAGAGAAGAGATATGACTAACTGTAATAAAGATGAAAGTGCTTGGCAGCTTTGTCTGTGGTCTCAACTCCGAGCTATTTTAAGATTTTGTTTTGTTATTATCGTGTTTTGAATTGTTTCATTCCACAAACAAGTTTTGTGTAAAACGACCCTATTTTTAACAGTCTGTTTACAGCCGATAAGATCTCCAGCAAAGCAACACCTCATTCGGAGGCTCATGTTGACTCGGAAAACAAACACTTTAATGAGGCCGAGCAGGCTGTAACTGAACGGGTGAGAAACCCCCTCCCCACCCAGTGCCAGCCTTGCCCATCTGCAGTGCTGGGCTGCAAGGCGAGGCAGGGAAGCTGGAATCTGACAATCCCGTTCATCCAGCTGCAGATCCTCGGGCTGGATCAGCAGGGCTGCCCACATCCTGAACAGCAGGTACCCCACGGCTTCACCAGCTGGTCAGTAAGAGCCAAAACCCGAGGCAGGATGCAGAAACATGTGCAAGCTCTGGGGAATGCTGAGATATTGACACCTATCAGGGTCTACTCACTCCCTCAAACCCCAAGAGAGTATTATTGTCATGGCGGGTAGTACAAGGAGCCTTTGCACAAAAATATGTTTCATCTGCGGAGAGAGTCTAGCATAATCTAATAACAGCAATAATTATCATTATTGTAGCACATAACAGTGTTCAACACATACTAAACCCCCAGAGATGACAACAAACTGGCAGGAGGCTACTCCCTCTCTTGCCTTGAACCCCCAGGTGTGCCCGGGAGCAGGATGTGATGAATGCACTGCATGCACTGCTTAGTGCAGGAGAAAAGCTGATGGCCGTTGCCTGATGCAATTCCCCTCCAAGCTCCTGAGTCTCCTCATTCTTGGGGAGCTTTGGGCCATTGTTTGACTTAATGACAGTGAATGCAAAAATCCTATCTGGACATTTGGTAGTAGTTTTGTATCCCAAGGATAAATCTCTAAAATACAGCAGAGGGCTGGTTGAGTCTGGGGCAGAATTAAAAGCTGAGCAACATTACACTGAATTCCATCTAACCCAGGTGCACTGACCAAAGGATGAGGGAAGTTTCCCAAACCTGACATGTTCAGGCCCAGCCACGAGCACCAGAACACTCCTGCAGTCACACGAACGCAACCCACGAGCATGGGAAAGTGGGGAGTGCTCTGGAGCACAGACACCCTGCACCAATACCTGCTCCTCTCGGCTTGTTTTGAATGCAGTTGGCTGTCTCATCGAAAAATGACTATTCTTTCCACGTACAGTACGAGGTGCAGGAAGCCACACAAGATCTTATCTGCAAGGGCATGTGCACTTGGGTGGTGTCTGCACTGACAATTTCTGCAGTTTTCCCACGGTGGGGTTCACAGCAGAGGAATTGCCTTGCACAGGAGAACTGCTTGGAGTGCTGAGGCAGGACAGACACCAGTGGCTGCTGATGACTCCTGCTCTTGGCTCTGCTGCAAGCGAGCTGGGACAGCACAAACACAGAGATGGCTGTGCCTGGCTGAGTGCACTATTTCTGAACACACGGCGAGGGAATTTCTGAAAACCCAAAGAATAAACAACACTTTGAAAAGTTAAACAATAATAAAATAAACTTTGTAGAGGAGGAACCAATGTCAACTCCAAGAAAATCACAGTGATCAAAGCTTGGATAATGGCAGAAATAATTGAGTAAAAAGCACACCAGGTATTAATCATTGGGCACATCTGTTTTGTGTTTTGGAATCACTCATTTCAAACTTGAGGCTAATCCGCTTTGCTGAGCTCTCAGAGTGCATCACTGCAAGTGGATGACATCAGGTTCGATGGTTGATTGCTTCCTGCTCAAAGGGCACTTCATACACAGCTGGCTGTGGGAAGCTCTGCAGAGACCAGGGGAACATGACATTCCTCAGGTCCACACACAAGGGACAGGGAAGAGTGAGACCATCAACACGGAGCAGTGACAGGTTGTTCCCAGCCAAAGAATTTGAGGTAGAGGGAGAGAAGTACAAGTCCAGGTTGGAATATGCACAGGTGAGGGGAAGAAGGAACTGAAGCCCAACCTCTCTGATTTGTGTCAACTCAGCAGTTTTAGGTGGGGTTTAACTGCTCGGCTCATTCTCTGAGCATTGCCCACCTCACCAGACCCAGACTCTGCACAGCTGCATCTGCAGCACTTCCCCAGGGCTGTCCCAGAGCCCAGAAATTCTGGCAGTAGGAGCAGAAATCTGCCATCTCATTTATGACTCCCAGCAACGCTGAAGCTCCTTCCCCAGCACTCCCCAGGCACAGCCCAGGGCAGAGGTGGCTCTGGAGGCTGGGAAGGGCAGCAGTGGCCCATGGGCTGCCTCCCTCTGCTCCAGGGGCAAGCCACTACAGCAGCAGGGTATGTTCAGAGGAAAAAGGGGTGGATACTGAAACATCATCACCTTTATGGGAGAAACAACTGCTGTCCAATTTTCCTTGGGCTTCTTAGCCAATATGATTCTTAATTTAAAAGAAAAAAGGAAATACAAATGAACACACTTTAAAATATAGTAAGAGCTGAACATGCCTTTGTATAATTAAGGTGGTGAATGGAGATAAGAAACAATATCA